ATAACAGATAATACTGTACCTAACTGATATATACTGTAACTAACTGATATATACTATAACTAATCTGTACATACTATAGTCAACTAGTACATATTGTGACGTTACATACAAATACCTCATAGCGGTTATGAACAAAATTCATCACCCGGACAAACTTGACACTTTGTGGCGTGACCTTCTGGCCTTGCCTTCAGATATCAAACCCAATTTCAATACTGCCCCCATCACAAAACGTGAGGGAGATTTGCAATGGCGTGTAATGCATGGTGCATATACTACTGCTGGTTTTCTTGTTGGGGCAAATTTTGCCGATTCTGAAAACTGTCCACTGTGTGGTGATCTGGATTCGCTCATTCACATTTTTATTGAATGTCTGGCGATTGGCACCCTCTGTCGCTTCATTTTGCGCATTTCTACTGAATTTTTACAACCTGATTTGACGGTTCCTCCTTGGTGGTTTGTTATTTTGCCACCTCACCACTCACATTGTTTTCTCTCTCGTCAGTGTGAGAGTATTTTACTTTTTATCCTTATCACTGCAAAAGTAGCTATCCATATCTCCCGACGGAATAAACGGGAGGGAAATGCTTTTGTGGATCCGTTGGAAATTTTCAAAACTCGCATCACCAGCAGAATTAAATCTGAGTACCAGTACTTCAAACTTGTGAAACAAGAGGACAGGTTCAAATACATTTGGACGACAAATGACGCTTTTTGTTCCTTGGAAAATGGAAAATTACAAATCCATTTGTGATAACTGTTATGGTTCAGAAGTCGTTTTCACACTTCTGTTGGTCAACTTGTCAAAGTCCTTGGGCAAGGTGTAGTACCTATAAGCCCTGGGTGCCAACTTCCCACATAATAAGTTTGGTTGACGTCAGTAAGGGCATACGGTCGTAAAATTCCTGCACAACCAGATCCGCATAGGTGAACAATTTTTCATGTAAATATATATACGTTTCAGTTTTCCTTAGCATTTGGCAGGGGGGATCGTAACCTCTTGTAGTGAGAACCAGTGTGACTGGCCTGCCTACGGGGTGCTAAGAATTCCATAGTAAAAGTTATCAGTCAAATCCGTTAATGTAATTTCGTTTTACTTATCCGTAAATCAAAAATCACTATAATCAAGTAGTACATATTGTGACTAGTGACTGATACATATTGTACCTAACTGATACATACGGTAACTAACTGATACATACGGTAACTAACTGACACATACGGTAACTAACTGATACATAATGTAATTAACTGGTACATACTGTAATTAACTGATACATACTGTAACTAACAGGTACATTATGTAATTAATTGATACATATTGTACCTAACTGATACATACGGTAACTAACTGATACATACGGTAACTAACTGACACATACGGTAACTAACTGATACATAATGTAATTAACTGGTACATACTGTAATTAACTGATACATACTGTAACTAACAGGTACATTATGTAATTAATTGATACATATTGTACCTAACTGATACATACGGTAACTAACTGATACATACGGTAACTAACTGACACATACGGTAACTAACTGATACATAATGTAATTAACTGGTACATACTGTAATTAACTGATACATACTGTAACTAACAGGTACATTATGTAATTAATTGATACATATTGTACCTAACTGATACATACGGTAACTAACTGATACATACGGTAACTAACTGACACATACGGTAACTAACTGATACATAATGTAATTAACTGGTACATAATGTAATTAACTGGTACATACTGTAATTAACTGATACATACTGTAACTAACAGGTACATTATGTAATTAATTGATACATATTGTACCTAACTG